CAAGATTTTGAAGCCCATAAGTTCTACGAACTCCAGTTACTGATGCTGATACTAGCAAATGAAAACTTCCATCTTTCAGCCAAACTTGACACCTTCATTACTGGGGATCGAGCCCGCAAAAATGTGCCCTGACTATGACATGTTGGTATATTCACAAAAATATACCAACCAAATGTTGAATTTAGCCAGAGCCACGTTCTTCCTGTACCTCACCTCAAAGGGGTGTACTTTTCCTTTATCTCATAGTTTAGTCACAAGTTCATTGCAAGTCACCAAAATCAGTCACTGTGGCCTGCGTGCAGAATTTACAGTCAGCTCGCTCTGACACGGAGGCCACGCCTTGCCTCTCGTGGGCTCTCAAACCTGGATCAACTCACTTAGGCAGCTTTTTTTTTTTTTGGTGCAACATGGGGTTAATATTATTAGTCCACCTCTCAGAGCTGTTGCAAAGGTTGACACGAGACAGTGTAAGTAAAGCCTTTACATAGTGCACAGAAAAGGGATTTGGCTGTTATCAGGATTATCATCGAAACTCACCAGGCGTGATGTCTCAGTGATGCCCTACATAGAGTAGCTTTTCTCTTGGGAGCCTGTGCTCTGCTCCGACTGGCTGCCCGGGCTCCCCACACCCCAGCGCATGCCATGTCCATGGCTTAAAAGGAGAAAAGTTACTCCTGCAGCCTCAACTGGGGAGCAGCTGGCCCTGACCGTTCACCAAAACCTTTGAAACTCATCCAGTGGCTTCTAAAAATCCATTTTTTCACAAAAAAAGAAAAGCTTTTTAAAATATTTATGTTTTATATTTAATTCTTAGTGGCGGTTTTCACTTTTTTTTTTTTTTCTGCCACATACAGGTCTATCTTTCAAGGGTGATTTCAGGGACAGTTCCACTTAGTACTTTGAAAGACCTCTCTGCTCATCAGGAGGTTCTTTCAACTCCGTCCACCTGTTAGAGACTCATACTCTAGGCCTTAGAGTTCTAGAATCTGAGATGGTCAGACCTGGGACCTCCTCCAGTGTACTCATTTAAAAAAAATATTTTTATTTATTTCAGAGAGTAAAGGAGAGGGAGATCTAGAAACATCAATGATGCGAGAGAATCATTGATTGGCTGCCTCCTGCACACCCCCCACACTAGGGATTGAGCCTGCAAACTGAGCATGTGCCCTGACCGGGAATCGAACCGTGACCTCCTGGTTCATAGGTTGATGCTCAACCACTGAGCCATGTGGGCCGGGCCAGCGTACTCATTTTAAAGATAGGAGGCTAAGACCCAGAGGCTGCCCAGTGACGCCCGTGGGGTCTTGATAAAGTCCAGGGCAACCTTTTCTCTTGCTCCATTGGCATCCTGGTATTCCTTCTGGGAAGCAAAGGGAACTAGGGATGCTTCTCTGGATACCAGACTTCGATTTCTGTCTAAGATGCAAGGTCTGTCTCCTGCAACAGGTGCTCCTCTAAGCTGTTATCAGTCACTGAAAGAGTCAGGCATGGGAGCCGGGGGCTGGGTGGGGCTCAGAGATGGGGAGGACCAGAGGACTTACAGTTGTGCTCCGGACCGGCCTCAGTGTCCTCAGCCAGAAGCCTGCCATATGGAAACTTCTGGAAGAAACCTCCCCAACCTAACACCCTCACGGAGGCAGAGTGCCACACAGGGCCAAGCTGTCATGGTCTGTCTGCTCTGAAAGGCTGACTCCGAGGCAGGCAGCCTGGCTGCCCTGCCAGCCCTCATGGGGTGGCCAAGCTCTTGGGCTGCAGGGGGTGGGCTCCCTGCCAAACCCTGGGCCAGACCGACTCCTCTTTTCTGCTCATGAAGCCCAGGTTGCTGGGGGGATTGGGGGTGTTCAGCCACTGCCATCTCTCCTGATGCCCTGCTTTGTCTGAAAAGCGGGCCTTGCCCGCCTGCCCATCCTGCTGCTGGCTTGTCTCCTGGGCCCCGGGCAGTATGGCCTGTCCTTGCCCGCAGAACTGCCTGCAGAACTCGTTCTTGCTCTGAGCCCCGGTGAGCCAGGCACTCACTTCTGTAACCGAATATTTATCCCTCATTAGGGCTTTGTTCCCTTGGCTGTGGAAACCCTGGGAACCCGGCTGCATGGCTCGCCTGTTTCTCTCACTCCCATTCTGTTTCTCTGGCTCTGCCTGTCTCTCTCCTTCGTCTCCCTCTTTACCTCTCTCTTTCGAGGGCCTCCTTTTCTTTCTGTCTCATTCTCTCTCTGCCTCACACGACAGTAAGTGGGATAGGAAGACCACCAAGGAGATGAGCATTTACAGCAATTCTCAGCTCCATCTTCTAAGCATCAGCTCTGCACCGGGGCCGACGGTCACGTACCCCAGGTGGAGTGGGCTGCCCGCCACTAACACTCCTACCCTGCCAGTCGCCGCAGACTGGTGATTGACATGCCCTCCTTTCAAAGGAGCCTGAGAAACCACGCGCATCCTCCCCTGGCTGTGAACTGTCTTGCTGGGTCCTCTGCAGGAGGAGGGGCAGGACCCCGGGTCTCAGCGAGGAGAAGGCACTGGCCAGCAGCTCAGATTTACACCCAGGAATTGGACAGCCCCTCCTGGAGAGGGCTCAGCCCCGGGCCCAGTGCCTCCGGGTGACTTCTGCCCAGGGGATGCCTCTGGGTTCCTTCCGCCCTCAGAGATGGGATTGGGGCTTGTCCAGAAACCAAGAGCCCCTCAGCCAGGCTGTGCAAGTCAAGCAAAGACCGTTACAGAAGTTAAAAACTCTGTTTTCAAATTCCGTTTGCCATTTCTGCCAGGCACTATGAATTTCTAATTTAATTCTGACTGAATTCTAATTGAATTTTTCAGTGAACACTGTATGCTTGTCATTAAACAGCGAGGCGAGGCTCGACTTGGCTCCTGGGGCAGCACAGCCCTCGGCAGAGGCTGTGGGTTCTGGAAAGAGGCGGCCTTTCTCGCCGACTCTCTCCTCCACCCTCGCCACTTCCCGAGTTTCTTCTAACCTAATACTAGTACCTACTCTTGGGGATGCGGTGAAGGAAGAATAGCACCACCCAGCAACACAGTGGAATTAACACAATGCCGGGCACACAGAAAGCACTCAAATATTAGCCGCCTTAGTACTCTTTCCTTTCCTCCTTCGCTCTGTTCCTTCATTTCTCCTCGCCTTGCACCTCCTCAGATTCCCCACCTGTCCCGCAGTCTTGCTCTGTCCACATAAGGGCAGGTTTCCTGCTCCCCCAGCCTGATGCCTGTGCTCCCCAGCTTTTTAGAGCCCGCACCAGGCACAGGGCTCCCCGCCTCTTTGCACGCCTCCCCCACGAGCTAAGCCGTGATCGTGGGGCACTGAGAGGCCTTGAACAGGAGGCAGAATGTGGCACAAGCCCGGGGGCAGGACAGCAGGACGACTGAGAATCGGTGTCGTCGCCTGCTTCGTATCCATTGGGACCCCTTTGAATACGAGGTAAACTGTGTGAGAAAACTGATGCCTGGGCAGAGGCACTTCCTAAACCTTCCCGTGCCACGGACGGACGTGTTAGCATCATCCCAGGCTCTGTCTGCGCACCAGGCGCTCCCAGCCCAGTGTTAACTTCCTGGTAGCACCATGGTCAGAATCGTCATCTCTCACCTTTAGAAAAGGTTCTGAGAGGATTCTAGAGGGCGGCACCCCTCCCCCACTGGTGCATCTGCTTCGGTTTCTGAGCCTCCTGGATCTCCGTGGAAAATGTGACTGGGCCCCAAGTTCCTTTTCTCGTTTTTCAGAAACCAGTTTTCCTTTCACGAGAAGTTCTTGTGTTCCCCTTTCTCTGGTGCGGCAATTCCTCGTCATTTCCTGGCCAGAAAATAACCCAGCAATGACCACAAGCCCACTCAGTGCCCTTCCTTTCCTCGTGACCAGCCTTAGATTCCCCCAGTGCCAGTGTGAGGCCCTTGGGTGCCCTGGCTGTTGGTGGGGCACTTGCAGGTCAGAGCCTGGGTCTCCCCATCTCCCCTGGTGACTCCTTTGCCTCCCCACCCCATGGCAGGTTGTGGGTGTCCCTGCCACCAAGCCTGTTCCCTTCACCTGGGCCTTTCCAAAGGGTGGATCCAATCATGTCACTCCAGCCTGCATTCTTTAAACCAGCTTAGTGCCACTTAGGATCTCAGCCTTGCTACCCCCCAGTTCCCTTCCTCACTCACCTGACCAGCTTCTACTTATTCTTCAAGACCCCGCCCAGGCAGCCCCCACCTCCAGGAAGCCTTCCCTGCCCACCCCAGTCTGTGTCTTTATCTGCATCTCTGGGCTGTGGGCCCCTGAACACCAGGGAGTCTGTCTTCCTTCCAATAGTTCCAGCCCGGCCCTGAGTTGGCACTCAGCTGCTGGCACACAGCCATAAGGTCACTGAACCAAGCCCCGCCTCCAGGGGACCCCTCCTGCAGGGTGGCCCTTGAACAGAGGGGAGCCCAGAGGGCCCCACCACACCCTCCACTTCCTCTCATTGTGCCTCCCTTCCTGTTTAAACTGTGAGGCGCGGGACATTTTTCCTCCCTTTGAGGACCTGCCTGGAGAGAGCTCTTTTCTCCGTTTCATCTCTCCTGACATCATCCCAAAACTCAAATCTCTGACCCGCTGGTGGCTCCAGAATCAACACACGTGGGGTCAGTTCCAGGGCCGCCCATTCGGCCGTGTGATGAGAGCAGGGTCTTCCCTCTCGGGACTTCCACGTCCTCATTTGTGAAAAGAGAACTAATGATAGCGCTTGTGGGGTTGTGGGGAGTTAATGAGCTAAATAAGGGCGCCCACGCTCCGGGGAAGTGTGAGCCGTGGTGCTGCCCTCCTTGTGGCGTATGGTCCCAGCCAAACGATTCTGGGGCTTTGAGAGAGCCAAGCTGGACTCTCACTGGATGCCTGCAAGTCCAAACATCCTGTTCTTTTTCGAGCTCCTTACTGGAAAAACAGAGGAAAGCTGGGTTTTTGTTTTTTTCCTCCTGACCATATCGGGTGACACAAAAAAACACAAGCCCAGCTGGGTTGAGCTACTTGACTCTCAGAAGTTTAGGAGCAAATCTGAGCTGCCGAGCAGGGTGGCGGTTCCTTTCCTGGATTAGGACCCAGGCCGTGGGAACCGGACCACCCCTGAGGCAGGAGGGCCGCCCCAATGTCTCCCCGGGGCCTGGGCCTGCCCCGGAGCCCCTTCCTCCTGGGGAGGGGGGGCCCTGGGCTCATGTCCTCCCCACCCCTCCTGCCTCCTTCCCTGCAGGTGAACTTCCACAGCCCCCGGAGTGGCCAGAGATGCTGGGCCGAGCGGACCCAGGTGGAGAAGCGGCTGGTGGTGCTGGTGGCACTTCTGGCAGCAGGACTGGTGGCCTGTGTGGCGGTGCTGGGCGTCCAGTACCGGACAAGTAGGTGCCTCTGTGTTTCATTGTGGGCTTGACTCATTCCTCCCCTCAGCTCTGTCCACTTGGGCAAGGGGCTTCCCTGGTACTGGCCTCCAAGGCCCCAGAGAGAGCCAAGTCCGGCGGACTCCGGTTACTGAGATGACCTGGGACCTGGAGGGTGGACGGTATGGGTGGTGTGAAGGTTTCGGTGTCAGAAGGTCATGAGTCTAAATCAGGGGTGGGCAAACTTTGTGACTCGAGGGCCACAATGGGTTCTTAAACTGGACCGGAGGGCCAGAACAAAAGCATGGATGGAGTGTTTGTGTGAACTAATATAAATTCAAAGTAAACATCATTACATAAAAGGGTACGGTCTTTTTTTTCAATACTTTTATTCATTTCAAACGGGCCGAATCTGGCCCGCAGGCCGTAGTTTGCCCACGGCTGGTCTAAATCCTGGCCCAGCAGCTTACAGCTGTATGATAACCTTGGATAAATCACTTAATCTCCCAGAGCTTGTGTCTTCTCTACTTTAGTAGGGGAAATGGTGCCCAGTTTGGGGGTAGCTTTGAGGGTCAGAGATAACATGTACGCGTACCTGGTGCCTACCAGGACTCCTTAACCTTAGCGGTGGGTGCTGTTGTCATTAGGATGTGTGGCCTGGTGATTCACACAGGCTGGCACTGTCCACCATCCTTAGTTCCAACAAAACAGCCATAATGACTTCCGTTTACTTAATACTTTTCATGGACCAAGTACCGCACATCATCTTTACAAATGTAGTCTCATTTCCTCCTGACAGCAACCCGAGGAGGTGTGGTTGCTCTTGGCCCCATTTTCCGCGTGAGGAAGCTGAGGCAGCGAGACTAAGCGACTTGCCCGAGGTTCCTACAGGAGGGACGGGGAAGTGGAATTCAACCACAGGCCCTGGGGCCCCAGAGCCCAGGCTCTGCCTCCCTTTGTAATCAGAGTGCATCAGTGTGAGGACTCCCAGAAAAGCTGTCCTCCTGTCACCCAGCTGACCTGTGTGTACCTCTGTAAACGCATTTCTCTGTCCTATCTTGTGTAGCGATATGATCAGGGCCTTTCCCATCCTGCTGCCCGGGGCCTGAGGCTGGTTCTCTGTGTGTGGCCGGGAGTATCTAGCCAAGGGCCTCGCACAGACTCGGTGTTCAGTAGGCATTTATGGAGCTGGAAAGGGCAGATCCAAGTGAAAAACGAGGGTGGGGAGTCCAGCTGATTTCAGAGCCTCTCACTCCCTGTGCCCCAGCGCCTAGCCTTCCGATGGCAGATTGTCCACCTCGGTGAACAGCCTCAGTTGACCTGAGGGCCCAACCCCACAGACTTGGTCACCTGGTCACTCATCCCATCGGAGAGATTGCGAACCTTCACAGGATCTGGGAACTGCCACCCAGGCTTCACTGAGCCTTGTCCACTGGGAAGTTGCTGGCCCTCCTGGGTGGCCCTGCTGGACTGGGATGAGGAAAAAGTTTGGGGGCCTGGAGAGAGGGCGGGACTTATCTGAGTCTCCCCTAATCCCTCCTGTATCAAGCATCTGTTCATTCATTCATTCATTCATTCATCCGCCAGGTGCTAATCCACATTTGATTAATTAATTCAAGATTTCCACGCTCTTAAGCATATGTACTTAGCATAATCCCTGCACGGCCATAGGTGTGCAAGCCATTTGCAAATTGAATAAATAAAGGATACAACGAGCAAGAAGGAGGAAAAGCTGGGAAAGCCTTTCTCTACCAATCACTCTTGTCCTGTAGGCGCCATCTTGCCCAAGGCACTATCTTGCCAGAACTTTCTGCCGGGTGGTGTGGACTCTGCCCACCCTCCTCTGCCCAGCTCCTGGCCCTGTGCCTGGGGAGCAGGCGAGGCTCCAGCAGCCAGTGTCGCCCTGAGACTGGCCCAGGAGTTCCCAGGATGTTTCTCCACCAGAAACCAGAAGGGACCCCCAAAGGGTGGCTTTTTGTGATGGGGCCACATAGGGGGCCACGGGAAGGAATCCTGCTTCTGCCTCGATCTCAGCCTTCTCAGGGACATAGAAGGGTTTTCCCAGCCTGGACCTGGGTGAAAGGAACTCTGGGTGGAGCTGGGTCAGGATCAGGTGACCCCTGAGCCAACCCATGTGTTTTCATTAGCTGCCTGGGCCTGGGAAAGCAGTGGCCACCCCGGATATTGACAGTTACCTCCTTACCCAGCACTGGCCACATCTGAGCAAACAGAAGGCCAGACAAAGCAAATGCTCTGAGGGTTCTGAAAGACCCACCTATACGTTATGTCTGGGCTCTTAAGTACATATTTATTCACCTTCCTGCTGCACCCTCCCTTCTGGAAACGTGCAGGTGCTTTTCAAACAGCAGCAGCAAAACAAACTCAGTGTGGAGGCCAGGCACTGTCCGGACAAGTGCCCGGGACCTGTCCCTGCTTTCTTGAGTGATCATGCCCGTCCTAAAGGGGAGAAATATTTTCTGCCTCCACAGGTGGTGACCAAGTGCTGGACAGAGCTCGCTCATTCATTCATTCATTCGACAAGCATGTATTGGACAGTGTTAGGTGCCATATACAATGCTGAGCAAAGGAACTATAAAAGCACATAAGATGCTGCCCTACCCTCCCGCTCACATTCCAATGGAGCAGGTAGACAGGGAGATGGCCAGGACACCCCTTAGTCCCTGGTCAGATCTCAGCACCCAGGCAGCCAGAGAGGGATGAGGATCTGGGAAGGTTTCCCCAAGGAGATGGAGCCTTGAGTATTAACCTTGACATTAGATGAGGGAGGGCGGGGAGGCTGGAAATGAATTAACCAAATGTGCATTAAGTACCTTCTGGGTTAGGAATGGTTGGTAAAGGACCTACAAACCATCAAATAGTTAAATAATCAAAGCTTATTGCTTAAGCACCACCTAGGGACCTTGCCCTGTGCCTAGTGGAGTAGGTGCTTAAAGTGCTTAGTGATTAACTCAGGCTATTCCCGGGAACTGTTTTTTAGTTTGTTTTAAACCCAAGTCCTACAAATATCTCTCTCTCTCTCTCTCTCTCTCTCTCTCTCACACACACACACACACACACACACACACACTCACACACTCACACACACACACACACACACACACTGGTGGATCTTGCTCTGAGGATTACCCTCTCACGCTGTCTTCCGGGTATTCCCAGCAGCCAAGATTCTGGACGGCTTTACTTCCTGTAGTTTGTTGTACAAAAACAATAAGTATTATTTTCCTTTTCCAAATATGAAGTTATAGCATAATAGTGAATAGGCTTTTTCAAACTACACGGAAATTCTCTTGCCCACCTCCACCTCCCGTAAAGATTCCGGCGCCTTCCCTGGTGGGGAGTGGGGCATGCAACTTTGCTTAAGATGATCAATCTAGAGCGATGCCTACCGTTTCCTCCTCTGTTTCCATGCCTCGTGGCTCAATGATTTTTAGTTGTTGTATAGGCATCTCAACACAAGTCATTACCTCAGAATAAAGTCTCCCTGGTTTTTGTGCTGTTGTGCAGCTCCTCCGAGCCCTTGCTCAACCCAAAGGCCTTTGCATTTTCATCAGATGTTAATTGCCTACCGGCCACTCAACCCCGGCTGGCATTCTGTTTCCGAGAGAGGTGAGCTCTGCCCCGGCCAGCCGGTGTGTTCTTTTCTATTCTCTAAAAATTGGCCTGGGAGCCTGGGACCCTAAGACTAGCAAGCTGAGCCCCCGTGCCCGGCCGTGAAGTCGTTTCATCATCTCTGTGCAATTGGTCCTGCTGTTCTCCCTCATTTCTAGATGGAGAAACTGAGGCTCTGAGAGATGAGGTCACGTGTGCGAGGCCCACAGCCAGAAGCAGAAGCTGGGAATTGAACCCGGGTCTGAGCGCTCACAGTGCCTGCCCTGCCTCACTCCTCCCTGTATAGGGGGGAGATGAACTCACCAGAGGTCGTAGTAGCCCCCAGTGTTCCTGGCAAAGAGGCAGCGAGGGAAGGCGGGAACCCCCGGCCATAGAGTTGCTGCAGCAGGACGGGCTGGGTTCAGTCTTGCTCTGCCCGCCAGCTGCGTGACCTTGTCCCCCTCTCTCACTCAGAGCCTCAGTTTCCTCATCTTTAATCGGGCCGTGACGCCTGTATCTGAGGCTTGTCCTGAGGCCTACATGAGATCACGAATGTGCGTGAAGTACCCGGTGCAGAGCTGTGTTCAGAAAACAGTCCCTCTTGTCGCCGGCACAGCTGTGTCAACAGACGATTCCGCTGCGCCTGTTCTTAGTCACCGGCCTGGAGCTCCGGCCTCTGGCTCCTGCAGTCAGGTTCATCTCGCTGCCTCGGGCTGGGCCACAGCTGAGGCCGCCCGCACTTCGGTTCCTTCACTAGAGCCCGCTGATCGAACTTGAGGCAGGGATCCGGCCCCCTCCTCTTGCCCTTGGCCTTCAGACAGCCCTCACACCTCTGCCTGAGTTTGTGAAAACCGGCTCAGAGGAAGCTGACTTCTCTGCTCATTGTGTTTTGGGGGCACTTGTAGGATTTGCAGCCCTGCCCACTGCCCATCTGCACCAACTGCTGTCCCTCCTTAGGCCACACCTGACAGGTTGGGCTGCCCCAGGGGGGTCCTCACCAGGAGAGCTCCCTTCTAGGCCCAGAGCAGACAGAGAGGTTGGGCTTCAGATCCCGTTGGCCACTAAGCAGGGTGCTGAGCCTCTCTGTGCCTCAGTTTCCTCTGTGAAAATGGCCGTAAGCAAAATGATCTTGGGGTTAAAAAAAAAATTGATCTCAGGGTTGTTTCGGTTTTGGTTGTTTTGAGGATTTGATGAGGTCACCCTCCTGCTTCGTGTTCAAGGGGGATGATTTTTTTATAGTTCCTTCTATTCTTAAAAGTCTTTCTTCTTCCTGAGTCTGGCACCATAGAGTCTGTACCACCCGTGTGGCACATACTAAATCCACTCAGCTTATGTTTGTAGAATGAATGACAGGTGTTTCTCCTGTTGTCTTTTGACTTTTCCTTTATAATGTGTGTCCCCAACTAACTTATTAGCCCTTGAAGGAAAGGGTTACACCTTTCATCTCTCTCTCTCTCTCTCTCTCTCTCTCTCTCACACACACACACACACATACACACACTGCGCTCAGCAAGAACCTGAAAGATACTCAGTAATTATCTTGTTGAACAAATGAATGAGTGAATGAATTTGTTGAACACCAGGGAACAATAAAAAGTCAATGAGCCCTGACCAGTTTGGCTCAGTGGATAGAACGTCTGCCTGCAGACTGAAGGGTCCCAGGTTTGATTCCGGTCAAAGGCATGTGCCTTGGTTGTGGGCACATCCCCAGTAAGGGGGGTGTGCAGGAGGCAGCTGATCGATGTTTCTAACTCTCTATCCCTCTCCCTTCTTCTCTGTAAAATCAATAAAATATATGTATTTTTAAAAAGTCAATGAATATTTGTAGAGGGAAGGATTTGTTTCGGGGTACTTTTAAGCTATAGAAAGAATTTTAGGCAGCTAAACAGAAGTCCTATTTTATAAGCCAAGAAATAGAGAACCTACTGAGATAATTTCTCTGGAGGGGTCTAGGGACCATGCAACTCCTCATCTGTGTGGTCAGGACCAGGGCCCCTGGTCACTGCACGGTACTCCTGTAGCCTCCTCCCTGCCCGCCCTTCACTAGCCTCCTGTCCTTGTCTCCTGCCAGGAACGCCCTCGGTGTGCCTCAGCCAGGGCTGCGTCTCAGTGACCAGCTCCATCTTGAATTCCATGGACCCCAGGGTGGACCCCTGCCAGGACTTCTTCACCTATGCCTGCGGCGGCTGGATCAAAACCAACCCCGTGCCTGATGGCCACTCGCGCTGGGGGACATTCAGCCACCTCTGGGAACACAACCAAGCCATCATCAAGCACCTCCTTGGTAAGCATCCTGCAGGGGGACCAATGAATGGGCTGCAGGAGGGCCATCAACAGGACCTACCTGGCCAGGCCAGTCAACGGAGGAGCTTGCCTGGAGGGGAAGACAGGCTTTGGAGTATGTGAAAGTGGGCTAGAATGCCTGTCCCATCACCTGTGTGCCTACGTTACTTACCTCTGAGCCTCAGTTTCTTCATCTGTAAAGCAGGACTAATCATACCCAAACTGCAGAGTCTAGAGAACTAGAGAACACACATGTAGAGTGTTAGCATGGCATGTGTGCACATAGTAGGTGCACAAAAACTAGCAGCGTGGTCTTTGCTTTTGTGACTTCCAGCCGCAACTTAGTTGTTGACTAGTTTTGACTGCTTTTTTGCAAGTTGTGAGTGAAAGGAATCCAGGCTGAGCACACGAGGTTAGAGTTTAAGGCTGTGAGCAGATAAAAGTTATAACAGTTTATCTGAGAGTTACTCATTGAAGGCAGCAGTCTTCCTTGGCCTCCTGAAAATGGATAAGCCTCTAACTAAAGTTCTTCTCTTTGCTCCCTGTGAGGCTTTCAGCACCTCTAGCTGACCTTGGTGCTGATGGCTTTATGCTTAGATTAGAATCCCATGTCTGTCTTGTTTGCAGCTGTATCCCTAGATCATGTGTGTTGAATTAACATCTGCCTGTTGGGGTCGTCCTCTGCGTGAAATCGCATTGCTCCGTGCTGTCACATATAGAGGTCCTGGCTTGAACCCCTTAGCAACCGATATCTTGGCCATCTTCCTCTCTCGCTGACCCCATCCTGGGGCCCCAAATGGTGGGAGAGGTTAGACCATGAAAAGCCAGTCAATTAATCCATCGATGTGAGAACTTAATTGGACAAATACATATTAAGTTTAAAAACAAAACAACCAACCCTCAAGATACTCAAAAGTAGGTAGAATACAATAAAAATTTTAAAAGTAGGTAAAATAGAAGAAGATGCCTTAAAAGGGGACACATCTCAAAGGGTCAGAAACCTTCCGGTGGGAAAGTTCTCTAAAAGATAAGAAAGGATTCTAATTTTACGGTTATGGATTTCAGGCAACTGTGTCTTTTAATTTAAAATTGTTTTCTAAATATTTTAATTGATTTGAGAGAGAGAGAAACATGAATTTGTTGTCCCACTTATTTATGTATTCATTGGTTGATTCTTCTATGTGCCCTGACCGGGGATCGAACCTGCAACCTTGGCCTATTGGGACAATGCTCTAACCAACTGAGCTACCTGGCCAGGGCAGCAATTGTGTCTTTTAGATGAAAAGAGACCTTTCCTTTCTTTCCCACCGCAGAGGGCGCCGCTGCTGCTGGGTGAAACCCACCCACCATCCCTTCTAGGCCCCCAGCAGCTCCTGGGCAGGGCCCCTAGATAGCCCCCTTAGTAACACAGCCTCCTGCTTGTATCCCTGAGGATCGGAACAGGGTTTGCCGCTCTGTGTGTCAGGACAGCAAAGCCCCTGCCCGCTTTATGCTACCCAAGTGCCATTGAAAGGGACACAGCCTTTCACTTCAGAAGCAGGAGCTTAAAAGGCAAATTTGTCTGTGGCAGCCAGACTAGAACTCAGGAAGGCCCTTTCCCAGCCCCTAAAGACACAGCCGGGAGCTGGGCAAGCACTAGCAACCAAAGGGGGGGAATTGTCCAGGTAAGAGCACAAGATGGGCTGGGACCTCTGGGTTCAAATGCTGCCTCGTCCTCTTACTGTGCGATCTTGGGCCGATTACATAACCTCTCTGGGCTTCGTCTCTCATCCGTACAATGGGACCTATGCCTCCTTTAGGTTATAAAAATCAAATGGGAAAGTACATATAAAGTGCTTTGTTTGAATCGGCCTGGCATATTATGGAGGCTCTGTTTATGACGGTGTTACTGTTTTTCACCCTTGACCTTTGCACAGCCCTTCAGAGTTTACAGAGGTCTTTTTGTAGATATCATCCATTTGATCATGCAGGGTAGAAGCTAGGAAGTGCTTGGCTTGACGGAAAAGAAACAGATCCTCAAGATAGGTTGGTAGGTGGCAGAGCTGGGACTTGCCTGACGTCCGGTCATGTGTCTTTTCCCCGTCCACACCACCTCCTTCAGGTACAAGGGACAGTGTGGCTTCCTTCGTGCCTTGGAGAAAGCCTGCAGGCAGACAGCTCAGAGCGCTGAGGGAGTGAAGGAAAGAGGGA